TACAAATCATGTGATGTAAATTAAATTAACATATGTTGCAAGGTGGATTATTAGTAAGTTTTGTGTTTTAATAGCTATTGGGTTGCCATAACCTTACAAAATTGTCTATATATTGTAATGAGTTTTTATGGTTTTATTCTTTTAAACTTTACTTCACAAAGTTAACATTTTCATCATGACGTTTTTGTATGTGTTGGCTGTTAGAATAAACGTTTATTTCTTGGTTGGCTCTTAATAGTTTTCAAGCACTTCTTGTGTCTAGATCTGCAGACGTCCCACCTAGAGAACCTGTGATGGAAGAATTTTCTCACATCATCATTCTTCTTTTCAACTCCTTAAAAAACGGTAATAAAGCACAACAATTCAACGATGTAAGAGATAATTATTTACTTTTGGTTTAAATTTTTTAAATAAATAAACTGACTATAGAGCTTAACTTATTAGTGTAAAGCTTATAATTTTTTTATTCGTTTGTTATAAACACATATTTATCTGAAATACCTTGACCAGTAAATGTCTTTATCGACTTGTATTCCTTCGCAGTATGTGTAAAATAAATAAATTACAGCATGGAAAGCGTTTTGTACGGGATTTTCCCACTCGTTGGTTTTGTCTGCAATTAAAGTCACCTCATCTCAATCCTGAACTTCTGTTATTATTCTTTCTTCCAGTCTGTCCATAGCTTATAAGCAAATGCAACTCTTCAACAATAATGTGGTCAATATTGGAATGTTTAGCAGAGGCTTTATAGCACCCCCTGTTTCTTTGTGCCTTTTTTCTTTTGCCAAGTTCCGTTTTTTATAGAAATCCACAGGCTTGCTTACATCAGACGCCCAATGAAAAAAGTAGACTCTTAGGTATCTTTCAGTAGATACAACTATGATTTGACGTTGCAACCTTTATTCCAAGGGCAAGGTGTAGGAGCTCATCAATTGAGTATATTTTTATAAAAAATTAATAGAAAATACATAAATAAATTATAAATAATTAAATAATTATACATACTATTAGAATAATTCGAATCAAGACAAAGCGGGTAGCGTGTAGAATTACTACCATGTTTCGAAGGAATTCGATTTTCTTTTGATCGCTATAGTTGATGGAAAAGGTTTTTAATTTAAAATTTTACAAATACAATAGTGCTATCATAGACTCGCGTTAAATTGCCTAAAGTTATGGGCCAAAAACCGCAAAGGGGCTGGTTAGCTAAGTTGTGGATTACTACTTTAATTGGCGGTCCTGTCTCTTTACACTTCATCATTACTTACCAATATCTGAGGGATGTAAAAGAACCACTGAGGAATGTGTATGACTACTTCAATGGCAGTCCTGTCTCTTTACACTTTATCATTACTAACCAATATTGGGGGTACGTATAAAAACCACTGAGTACGTAAAGAGGTATGTAAAGGATACAGTACCGTAAAGTACAGTACAATTTTTTATGAGTCTTCGTAGTCTTCACTCTCTTCTAGCCTAAAGGAAAATATGGCATTCATTCTTTTTGGTTGATAAGATATATACATGAATTTGTGGTTAAATACTACATGGTAATGAAGCTGAGAACGTTGGTTTAAATGAAAAACTTTTCACTGAGTTTTGAATCGTTTTACCAACCCAGTCCAATATCAAATAATCACAAGATCTTATTTTTCATCCCCACCATACTGGTTGGCGGCATCTTGTTTATTGTGGAGCGTCCGTACATCTTCCTGCCGAAACAAAATCCCTGACAATGCTTAATTAAAGGGTTTTTAATTAAAATTRGCTTTGTTCGGTTTGCTTGCCGCTGGCCCATGCCCAGCATCGTGCAAAGAAGCCAAAAATTTGTTTCTCTTAAGCAAGCGTTAAAAGCTCTATAATACTTCACTGTAGAACAAAATAGAATTGCTTAACCCTATATTAAGAATTTGCAGTAGTTAATTTGTAGTAATACCGAGAAGAACCGGAACAAAAAGTGATTGCTGCAGTTGGTGCAAAATAGCCGCCTCCTTTTTAACTCCCGAAATATCAATAGTGGAGTGGGCTTTTTTTAACACAAACATGAATGTTTTTCTAACTCATTAGTTCACATGTTCCATAACACRAGTTTAGTTTAATGGGATTATAAGTTTATTTACTCAATGTTGACAAGTTTCTGCACAGTACGCCAATGAGCGTAAAGTAAGTAATATGATACCGGACCATGGCCAGGACAGCGGGTATACTGTACTTCCGGTCTCAAAAATCTTGAAGTTCGTTTCGAGTTCATGATGGTCAAAACCAGAGGTCGAACATCTAGTTCAACTGAGGGGGGCCGAGGAAGAGGCCGAGGCTGAGGGCGAGGCTGAGGGCGAAATGCTGAGCAAACCAGAGAACAACAGGATGTTTTGTCGTTCTTCTTCTCCATCTTCTTCCTTCGATGCCTGGTTCAATTCTTCATCTTCACTTYGGCCTAGAAGCTTCTTGGCACTAGCACTGGCACTATCACTTCGCTTAAGAAGCTCTTCTTAATTATAGTAAGAGCCTTTGTCGCTCAAAGAGAGTGATTTTGCATTCTCATGACAGAATGCTGTGGAGCTACGTCTTTTTTCCTTTTTGTTAGAACCTCCACAGAAAGGATTTCTCTTTTGCTTACGAGGCATCGCTGATATCCCACGAAAGAATTAAAAAAAAAACTGAAGAAATCTAGTAGAAGTAATTAATCTTGATAAATAGCTAAACTCTGTAAATATGATATAATTTGTTCAATCGTTCACTTAGTGGCGTCCTCATGTACAGCTCGATATGTTTTCACTGCTATGGCTTGACAATGCTCGTGACGTCAAACTTACTTGAATCAATCGACTTCCGGTGAATAGATAAATGACAGTTCCTGCGAACAGCGCAACACCTACTGGTAACTTCTAAAAATGTTTTTTTACGAATATCTCCCTTAATTAAAAAAAAATATCTTAATTTTTATATAAAATTAAAGATTTTACTTTTATATTAGATATAGCATGGTTTCAAAAAAAATTAATTTTTTTGACGAAAATTGTGTTCCGTGTATCCTTAACCACATTAAAAAATGGAAAGGAAATCTTTATTGAAAGGAAAAACTGTATCAAATACTTAGGATTGATGCTTGATGATTCCATGTCCTGGAAACATCAAATATCATACATATGCACTCGTATATCCCGTAATTCAGGAATAATAGCAAAACTACCTCTACATTAAACAACTTRAACAAATCTATTATAATTTAATTTATCCACATATATCATATGCCATTATGGCATGGGGTAGCACGTACAAAACAAATCTC